GTTTGCATACGTTTGAATTAAGCTGATGAGTTCATCTTCCCCATAGGATCCCACCGCAAGCTTCGTGCTAACCGTGTGAAGTAATTCCCCATGACTGTCAAATTGCTGCAAAAATAATATAAGAAGGAACGCATCAAAACGGACATCGTATTAAGCTGCAGGTCACATTGTTGCTAGTCAAGCGAAAGGCTTCAAGGAAATCGTGCTCACATTGAAAGAGCCTGTCCAATTGCCGGTATTAAGTCGGATGAAGCGATGAAGAGCGTCGATTCCTAACGATTCGTCAGCGGCGGTGGCGTCGGGGCTGGTGCACGACGGCGGTCTCGCCGTGAGCGGAGGCCGGAGCGGGGAAATTTCGCGGATTAACAGCTTATCGTTTCGGAAACACAGAGGCGGCGTTCGAGATTTAGAGGGAAAGAGGGATGGGTTAAGGGGAGTGTGAGGAAATAGTGCTGAAGATATAGCCGTTGCCATGGTCGGAATGCTGCTCGACCGGTAGCCCGACCCGAACAAATGGAGTCTTGTTCATCTTGTAGAGGTGCGTAAGAGCAAGGAGGGGTACACCAAAAAAGTACACCCAAATGTACACCACCCACTTTTTCACCACTCATTTTTATTTTATTTTTATTTATTTACTCCCTCTGTCCTAAAATTAACTTTCCATTTGACTTTTCACAGTCTCTAATGCGACACTTTGACCAATATCTCAATTTTTATATAAATATATTTTATAAAAATTATATATTTCAAAACTATGTTTTAAAATGAATCTATTGCTTATAAATTTATATGAAAATTCAATGTATTTTTTCCGTAATATACGGTCAAAGTTTAAAAAGTTTAACTACAAAAGTCAAACTGGGAAATTAATTTTAGGACGAAGAGAGTATTTTTTTAAATTTCTTGCCTTTTTTTGTGGACAAAGAGAGGGTGGAGAACAAATGGGATACACATTTGGTATACCCCTAGCATTTTTCGGTGCATAATTGTACTCCACTAGTTAGTGCCTCTACAATATACAATAGTGAGTGTGGATAAAAAAGATAGAGAGTAGATAAAGAATTACATTTCGAATTCTAATTAGAATATTTATAATATTTTGTTAGTAAAATTAATAATTCGTGATGTGTGTATTCCATTCAAAGAAACGACTCAGGTCGGGATTAACCAAACCCAACCAGATGAAGGCTTGGTTTGCACTAAAAGCGCACAAATGAAAATCTAGTTGGTCCAAAACCGACCGGTGATCAATGGATGACTGGTCAAGGTGCGCTTGAGGATTCTCGAATGAACTCAAGATTTGCCTACAGAGATGGTCCGGGGAGACATCTAAGCCTTAAGAACATCGCTAACACGGCGGATCGACTGGGGGTTAGGTTTGATTGGGCGAAAGTAAATTAGTCGGGTTAGGATCCATGTACCATCGGTTGGAATCAGAAGCATTCCCTCTAAGAGCACTGGTACTACCCTTAACGCTCCTAGACGTTATGGCCATTTTGAAGCCTGGGGGGCGTTAAACACGGCCCCCCCTCCCCCGTTAAAAGGGCGTTAAACTTCTTGAGTCAAAGTTTTGACGCACTTTGAAGGCATTGTCACGCCTTTTCTTCCTTTTTTCTCCCTCTTTTTTCCTCTTTTCTTCTCTATAAATTAAATTTAATTTTTTTAAAAAAATTCAACACAAATACAAATTTCTCTCTATCTATCATCTTTTTAAAAAAAAATTATTATTCAAGTTTTTTATTTATTTTTTCATGAATGTAATTTTTTTATTTAATGAATGTAATGTTTTTATTTAATTAATGTAGTTTTTTTAATAATGAATTTAATTTTTTTATTTAATGAATGTAATTTTTTTATTCAAAATCATGGAAACCGACCTTTCTACGTTGTCGGGTTTCAAACGGATGATCTACGAGCAAAGATAAAGAGAGATCAAGGCGAAATATAATTTACCTTAGTTTTTTTATTAATGTATCTTTTTNTATTTTTTCATGAATGTAATTTTTTTATTTAATGAATGTAATGTTTTTATTTAATTAATGTAGTTTTTTTAATAATGAATTTAATTTTTTTATTTAATGAATGTAATTTTTTTATTCAAAATCATGGAAACCGACCTTTCTACGTTGTCGGGTTTCAAACGGATGATCTACGAGCAAAGATAAAGAGAGATCAAGGCGAAATATAATTTACCTTAGTTTTTTTATTAATGTATCTTTTTTATTATTGTCGTTTTTTTATTTTAATGAATGTAATTTTTTAAATTTTAAATTATGGTTGTTTCAATTTCTTTAAATTTAATGAATTTATTTTTTTGTATTTGTGTTTCAATATAATTAAATAATAAATTAATTTAAATTTATTAATTTAAATTTAGGAGATGTATATTTAAAAATGTAAAAAAAGAAGGTTTGAAGCCTCAGTTTGAAGCCCCGGGGCTTCAAAACCATTTCCAGTGAATTTTTGGTGTAAGTTAAAGCTGGCGTGGCAGAGATAGAGTTTGAAGCCCCGGGGTTTCATGACCATTTCCAGTGCTCTAACACTACACGTACATGCCAAGAGGAGACATGCACAGATGATATATGCCAAAGAGTGAAGGACAAATGCTATAGGATAAATATGAGTAAATTCCATATTTGGTCCTTTATAACATGAGGGTTTCCATATTTAGTCCTTTATTATCAAATTTTACTCCTGTAGTCCTTTTTTTAAGGATAGCTTTCCACAAATGGTCTTTTTTTGATCTTCTATCGTGTTGGTGTTAATTTAAAGGCTAAAAGTATAATTTGACATCAACATTATGTCTAGTGACGTGTTCTGATATTGATTAAGCGGATAACACAAAAATAATGACAATGATTGTGGGCTAGGATTCTACCAGAAGATCACATTTGTAGACTATCGTTGTCGTAAAAAGCGACTGTAATTCACAAACGACGCAAACGGAACAACCTTTGGAATTGTGTATGACAAAAAAAGATATATTATCATTGTAAAATTACACTTTTAGCCCTCAAATTAACACCAACACGATAGAAGATCAAAAAAGGACTATTTGTGGAAAGATACCCATTAAAAAAGGACCACTGGGGTAATATTTGATAATAGAGGACTAAATAGGGAAACCCCCCTATTATAAAGGACCAATTATAAAATTTACTCGATAAATATATATATATATATATATATATATATATAGTCATGTGTGATCTTGTTTGATTTGTCTTAACATATAGATTATTAATATATAATTTCAATAATTTTTTAATATACAAATTACAAGATAAAATGGATTAAAGAAGTGTATTGGATGGTGTGTAAAAATGAAAGTGGACAAATACTCTAGGACGGAGATAGTATAATATAACTCAGGAACATAGCATAGGTCTAGCTGTCGCCAAGCGTGGCCCTATCCCTTAAACTTACTATAAATACGGATGCAGCTCCTCATTGAGGGGGGTATAATTTCTACTCTCTAGAAGCACATTGTGAGTTTGCAATAATCCTAGTCTATAGTATTCTTTTATATTGATAACAATTAGACTACAAGTATTCTCACCTAGAGTCTTCTTGAGTTTACGTGATTTTTAGTATCTCAATCTAGCATTTTGCCTTAGACCCAGTCTGGAGCTTTTTCTCCTTGTAATTAATTTACACCATCAATTCCTATCCCTTCCTTAACTTCCTCGGTGAACCCTCACCTAATTCCGACCCCTACTCATCTTCCTATATTTGTTAATTGTGGGGTGTGAGTCTAATTGACTTTGGGATCAAAAAATTTGTCTCAAAATTAACTAAATTTGCATTCCGCAACTAACGTGGGTAGGGATACGGGTTGGGGTCAAGACTAATTCAGATTTGGGAAAGTTTTGTGGGAAGGAAGAACTATTAATTTTGTTAATGGAATATTTAACGTCCATTGTTGGTCACTTGGACTGAAATTCAGATCTAAAAAGGGGAGGAGGAAGAAGGAAAACCCCAAAATGAGAGGAAAAGTTATTGTACTGTTATCAATCTAACAGCATGTTTGTTTTGAGATAGGTGGAGGTAGGGTGAGGTAAATTTTACACCCTACCTTGTTTGGGAGATAAAATTGAAGTGGGTGAGAGGAGGGGAAGGGAGGTAACCTTACCTCCTAACCGTGCAAATCTCTCTACCGCCGATTTGGCGAAACATAGCGGTAATTATTTCCGTTCCCTTTGCTGCCCTCCTAATTTTTCCTAGAAGCTCCGCTAGCTGCTCCGAAAAATCAATCGCACATCCGGCGCAGGTTCTTCCTCTCCCTTATCTTCCAACTTCCCTCTTTGTTTTTTATTTTTTTGCTAAGAATTGCAAATTGCTTTTTTTCCCTGTTTTATTTTTTATTTTTAACTTTTTTTCTAATTTCTTTTCTGCCGCTGATTTTTTGGTATTTTTGTTCTATTTTTTTCCGTTTTTTTATTTCTTGATTTTGCTTTCTTTTCTTTTTTATTTTTATTTGTTTTTTCCGGTTGTTTTATATGTTTTTTCATGTGGTTGAAGTAGCATGGTTTGATTATTTTCTGTTTTTTGGTTTATTTCTGATTTTTTTGTTATTTATATAAATATGCTATTTTTTTGTATTGGTTTTTGGTTTACTCTTTTCTTTTTTGCTGTCTTTTCTGTTTTTTGCTATGTATTTTAATATCATTTTTTATGTTTTTTTGGCTTTTCTTTTACCCGTTTTTTCAATATTTATTGAAATATATAATTATATTGTTTTATTTTTCAATTTTTTAGCTGTTTGTTTTTTCAATGAGTCTTTCCTTGGCAATGACATTCCGGCTTGGTGGATGTGTAGTCATATAAAATACATCCTAAATAGATAAAGAAAAACAACTACAAGGATATTTTAGTAATTTTTATCTTTTCCTCCCTCACATTACCTAATAAACATCCAAACACAATTTTTTATTCCGTAATTCATTACCTTACTTTACCTACCTTCTATTACTTACCTTCAATTATCTACCATTACCTACCTAATAAAACTTTTAACTACCTCCAACCAAACATACCCTAAAAGTTGTGAATGGAAAAGTCACCTTCGTGTTCCATTGGACCATTTGGCACTCCTTAAACGCAAAGAGTTAAACCTTCCCAATCCCAGTTCCGATCTCGGAGGCGAACTCCAGAATCTTCTCCGGCGAGTATGCAGATGCCAACCTCACTCCGAGCGCCCGCCTGGGTCTCCGACCGAAGCCTCCTCGACCGGAAGTTCTCCGACCTTCACAAATGCAGAGACGTAAATCACCTGAAGCAACTCCACGCCATCGTCTACAGATTCAATCTCCACCAGGACCCTTTCGTCGCGACGAAGCTCGTCGCCGCCTTCTCCCTCTGCAGCCACATCGAGCTGGCCGTCAGGATTTTCAGTCAAGTTGAAAAACCCAGCGTGCATCTGTACAACGCCGCGATCAAAGCCTGTGCTGTTGATTCCCGGCCATCGGAGGCATACTATGTCTTCTCGCAGATGCAGTGCCGCGGCGTTCCCCCGGACAATCTTACTTACTCTTATCTTTTGAAGCTCTGTTTGGACGAATCGTGGTTGAATACTGTGAGGACGATCCACGCCCTTTTCGAGAAGAAAAGGTTTGATTCGGATCCCATTTTGTGCAATTCCTTGATTGACGCGTACTCCAGGTGCGGGATTTGTTCTGCGAAGAGGCTGTTTTGGGGAATGGATCATAGAGATGTGGTGTCATGGAACTCCATGATTGGGGGATTTCTGAAAGCTGGAGATTTGAGTGAAGCGCGGAAACTGTTCGACGTAATGCCTGAGAGAGACACAGTGAGTTGGAACACCATGTTGGATGGGTGCGTGAAGGGCGGACAAATGACTCTTGCATATGAACTGTTTGATAAAATGCCCTGCAGAGATGTCGTATCGTGGTCGACCATGATTTCTGGGTATTGCAAAGCAGGGGATCTTGAGATGGCTCGCGCTTACTTCGACAAGATGCCTTCGAAGAACGCGATCACCTGGACAATCATGATAACTGGTTATGCTGAAATGGGGCTGGTGAAGGAAGCCGTGGAATTGTACACACAATTGGAGAAATCCAGTTTGAGTTTGGATCCTAGAGTGTTTGTGAGCATCCTAGCTGCATGTGCAGATTCCCGAATGCTAGGGTTGGGTAAAAAAGTTCATCGTTCCATCAAAAGGAGTTGTTTTAATAACACTAATTCTAACACTCGGGTTCGCAATGCTTTGATTGATATGTATGCCAAGTGCGGGAGCTTGAGCAAGGCGCTCATCGTGTTCAACAAGACCATCAAGAAAGACTTGGTGTCATGGAACTCCATGATCCATGGGCTCGCCATCCATGGACATGGGAAAAAGGCCTTAGAGCTTTTCTCCGTGATGAAAAGCGAAGGCTTCGTCCCAAATGAAGTTACATTTGTTGCCCTTTTGTCGGCGTGTAGCCACGCTAGTTTGGTGGACGAAGGCGTCTCTATTTTCAACTCATTGAGGAGCCGTTACGGTGTCGTGCCCCAAGTCCAACATTTTGGGTGCATGATTGATCTCTTAGGCCGCGGTGGGCATCTCAAAGACGCTTTCGCCCTTGCTCTCAACATGCCCATGGAAGCAAACATCATAATCTGGCATTCCCTTCTCGAGGCGTGCCAAATGCACGACGATGTTTTGTTCCCACCACACGTGCGCGAGTATCTAGCCGAGTTAGGGAGGGGTGTGACTTCGGATGCCAGATTGGCAATAGACATTGGCTTGGAAAAACCATGTGGTGTGGGTTCTATAGAGTTGATGGAGAGTGATCATCCTAAATCAGGTAGGATATATCATCAGATGATATATGGGCTGAGCCAACATCTTAGACTGCTAGCCCCTTCAAACAAAAAAGAGTTCAAAAAAGAGTTTTATAAAAAGTTCTGAATGATTTTGAAAATGTGGTGTATATATAGATGGTTTAGATTGTAATGTCATTGGGTACAAAAAAAATGCAGCATAGAACCGTAGAATTTGCAGTAAATTCCATAATTGGTCCTTTATAATAGGAGGATTTTCCTATTTAGTTCTCTATTATCAAATATTACCTTAATGGTCCTTCTTTTATGAGTATCTTTCCACAAATAATCCTTTTTTATCTTCAATCATGTTGGTGTTAATTTGAGCGCTAAAAGTGTAATTTCACAATGATAATATATCTTTTTTGTCATGCACAATTCCAAAGGCTGTTCCATTTGCGTCGTTTGTGAATTACAGTTGCTTTCTACTATAACCATAGTCTACAAATGTAGTCTTTCGTCGGAATTCTAGCCCAGAATCATAGTCATTATTTTTGTGTTATCCTCTTAACCAATATCAGAATACATCACTAGAATAATGTTGATGTCAAATTATACTTTTAGCCTTTAAATTAACACCAACATGACAAAAGATCAAAAAAAGACCATTTGTAGAAAGGCACCCTTAAAAAAGACTATGAAAGTAATATTTGATAATAAAGGACTAAATATGAAAACCTCCTGTTATAAAGAACCAATTATGGAATTTACTCTAAAAATTCCAACACCAGCAAAATTGTTGGTCATAGGCAAAGAATGTCTCTTAATTTGGGCTGATCGTAGCTCTGCCATCACTCGAATTTATTGCACCATGTTTAGTGTTCTTGTGAAGGATGGGAATTCACATGCTATAAATGTTACCCAAAAGGTGTACAAGGTCAAGGGATTTTGTGCGGAAAATTTAGAGGCCTGGTAAGTAATTGTTTGTTTGTGTGCATATGTGTGATGTGATTGTCATATACAGCAAGCTCTATGAAGCGCGCAAAAGCAAGGCGTGAGGAGGTAGTGCAAGGATCAAGGTTGGTGTGCATTTTGAATGGGTGGTGTAGGTAGTGTTTTCTCTGGTGCCTGTGTTAAATATGGATTCGTGAGGTCCTTCACTTTTGCTTATCTCAAGTGCTCTGAACAAATGGCATGTATATATCATTATCACGGCGTGTTTCATGTGTTGGCGATCACAAAGACATTAGGGGTTACTCCTAGGAGTGAATGGGAGTAACTAGTATCATTATTATCTTTTGTATTAATTTATCACTCTGTGGTGTTGGTATAACTGTTTGCCTTTTTTGCCTTGTGATACATTAATTAAAAAGTGAATGAATGTTCATAATTAATATTACCATAATTTTTTTAAACTATGTATATAATTATTCTTACCATAATTATATTATACTATAATCATACACACGTTTTTTTATATAACCTAGTCAAGGCCTCTAAATTTTCCGTACAAAATCCCTTGACCTTGTACACGTGTTGGGTAACATTAATAACATGTGAATTCCCATCCTTCACAAGAACACTAAACTTGGTGCAATAAATTCGAGTGATGGCAGAGCGACGATCAGCCCAAATTATACAGAGACGTTCTTTGCCTATGACCAACAATTGTGTTGGGGGATACAAGGCCATAGCCCACTGGCAAAGCATTGTCAATGTTCCCAAACCAAGAACTGGGTTGGGCACCATTCCGGAACATCATCTTTGAAGGCCTTAAGAATGGATATTAGATTTTGCTCGTTCAAGACCAACATGTAAATCATGTTATTCCCAAGGCCAACACCTGTGCCGTAAAAATCCTCCCTCAGATGCTACTAAGACAGATGAAAATCATTGGTTTCAAAATTATAGGAAATCACATGTTTCCGTGCAAAAATCATAGCTCACGTAGCAGCAGGTTTGTTTTCACTGGTAGCTGAATCATCCGTAGTTTTATATTCAAGTGTGAAAGCACAAATAGAATAGCCTACCGCTATCTGGGGGTTAGAGGCTTTATCACCAGTAGGATATATGGACTGCCAACCTTTAGCCAAATCATGAAAGTCTAGACACTTTACTTCGAAACTGAGATATGTAAAGATTCCCAAACCATAAATCTGTTGGTGATGTGTAGTCATCGGCCCAAAGTGGCCCACTTGTAGACAACTGAGAATTAGGAGACCAGATTAGGGTTTCGGCCGGCCCAAATGGTTTTAAGCCCAGTTTGCTATAACTTGTCCAGCAAGGGTTAAACCCTAATTAGTTGTCTATATATTTGATCTCCTGTACTTGTAATCATCATCACTCAATAATACAAACC